CCCATACAACCTTTAATTAGGCTTCATAACATGTTCTGTGACCATGATCGACTCCTATTTATCTAAATCCTAGATTTGCAGTTGAAATGTATATTATCTCTCATTAATTAATGAATCAAATTTATTTTAGTTCAAATGAAGATTTACATAAATTATTATTTGATTCTCTTGAACGTATTCGTCATTCCTTAAAATCTGATGATATTCGTTCAATTGTAATGTCTACTATGAAAATATTGAAAGCCAATGAACGTGATGATTTATGTAAACATTTTAATGATAATCTTCGTATTGTTATGATTGAATGGCAAACTAAACAAGGAAGTACTTCAATAGTAGTTGATGATAATTTAATAGAAGAAAATATGGATGTTGATGATGATCAAGATGATAAAAATAAAAAACAAATAACAACAAGTAGTACTTCTAATATATCAAGTGAATTCAATGATGTTGATTATCGTTTTCTTGATCAAGATATGCATCATCATATGAAAACAACAACAACAACAACAGCAGTAGAAGATGATAGTCATCGAAAACAACGACGAAAATCACGTTTTTCTGATCGATTGCCAATAGATGATAATCATACAATAAAAGTAAAATCAAATATTCAAATTGATAAATTTTGTTCGAAAGAAGAACCTACCAAAATAACGTCATCCAAAACAGTTGATGTGAGTTATTAATTAGTGATAGTTTTTCTTTCTTTATTTTTGTTTTATTTTACATTTATTTTTGTTTTCTTTACTATTATTATTATTTTTTTTGAAATAAAAAAAAAAGAACAAAATTGTGAATAGATACAAAAAAAACACCTTCAAGATTTTGTTCTTTTATTTTTAACATTTATTTTAAAATAGAACCTTTATTCTATAGAAACATATTAATTCATCATTAAATAGCAAATTTCGACCAATTATTAATTCATCTGAATCATTTATACCATTAACAAATATTAAAGATAAACTAACATCAAAACCTATACGTTTTTCATTTTCTAAAGATTCACTTCGACGACATAAAACAAATATTTCATTAACAAATAATAATGATATATATGAAAGTTCACCAAAATTTATTGAAGATTTAATTAAACAAGTTCAATCATATGGTTATCAAGGTTTATCATTGTCGAATGATAATTGGATAAAACAAACCTTACCAATTACTCCAATACGTTCTACAGCTATGTTAAATTTAGTTATGCAACAACAACAACAACAGCAACAACAAAAGACAAACAATAGATTTTCATCTTATACAAATGAATGGAGATCAAGTAGTAATAATAATTATATGACACATTATTATGATTTTGATCAACCTCAAGAATGATTTTATTTTGTTGTTTATTTTACTTCATATTTTTAATTTATCTATTTATTG